TCTTCAACTTTGTTCTTTTTTTTTTTTAATATTGTTTAAGCTACTCAGAGTCCCCTGAGATAACACACGAATGTTACAATTTTTTTTCTAATTCTACAAAAAATATCATTGGATTTTGATAGGAATTTCAGTGAATCTTTAGAATGCTTTGGATAGTATAACACTGTAGCAATATTGTCATCCAACCCACAGTTTTCGGTGCATAAGTCTTTCAGCTCCTTTGTTAAGTGCATTCCTATTTTATCCTTTTTGATGTTACAGAAAATAGGATTGTTTTCTTAATTTTCTTTTCAGATTGGTCATTGTTAGTGTATAGAAATGCAACTGCAGTGTTGATTTTGTGTCCTGAAACTTTGCTGAATTCATTTCTTTGTTCTTACAGGTTTTTTGCAGACTCTTTAAGATTTTTTAAAATATAAGATTGTGTTGTCTGTAAACAGAGATCATTTTACTTCTGCTTTTCCAACTGTATGCCTTTATTTCTTTTTCTTGTTTAATTGCTCTGGCTAGAATTTTCAGTGCTATGTAGAACAGCAGTGGTGAGGTTGGGCATCTTTGCCTTGTTCCTGATATTAGAGGAAAAATGTTTAGTTGTTCCCTGTTGAATACAATGTTAGCTGTGGACTTTTCATATATGACCTTTATTATATTGAAGTAGTTTCCTTCAATACCTAGTTTATTGAATGTTTTTATCATGAAGGATGGTGAATATTGTCAGATGCCTTTTCTCCATTGATTGAGTTGATCATGTGGTTTTTGTCTTTCATTTTGTTAATCAATGTGCATTACATTGATTTTTAAATATCGAATCATCCTTGTATTCCAGGCATAACTCCCTCTTTGTCACGGTGTATGATCCTTTTTATGTGCTGGTGAATTCAGTTTGCTAGTTTTTTTTCAGGGTTTTTGCATCTGTGTTCATCAGGGAGAGTGGCCTGTAATTTTCTTTTCTTGACTTTTATTTTTGAGTTGGAGTCTCACTCTGTCGCCCAGACTGGAGTGCAGTGGCCACTCCCGGCCACTGCAGCCTCGACTTGCTGGGCTCCGGCGATCCTTCAGCCTCAGCCTTCCAAGTAGCTTGAACTACAGGCGCGCACTACCTCGCCCAGCTGATTTTTTGATTTATTGTAGAGATGAGGTCTTGCCAAGATGCCCAGGCAGGTCTCGAACCCGTGGGCTCAGGCAATCCACTCACCTTAGCCTCCCAAAGGTGTGGGATTACAGGCTGAGCCACCGAGCCTGGCTTCTTTTCTCATCTTGTTTGGCTTTGGCATCAGGGTAATGCCAGCCCCTTAGAAAGAGTTTGGGAGAATTCCCTCCTCTTCTATGCTTTGGGAGAGTTTGAGGATTGGGGTTAATTCTTCTTAAAAGTTTTGTGGAATTCTCCAATGTAGCCATCCAGCCCTGGGCTTTTGTTGTTGTTGCTGGGAGGTTTTTGTCTACTGTTTCAATGTCCCCCCAGCTATAGGTCTGTTTAAATGTTTTATTTATTCATGATTCAGTCTTGGTAGGTAGTACATTTCTAGATATTTATCAATTTCTTTTAGGTTATACAATTTGTTAGTGTGTAATGGTTCACAGTAGGCTCCTATAATTCTTTTTATTTCAATGACATCAGTTGTAATATTTCCTTTTCTATTTCTAATTTTAGCCATTTGAATTTTTCCTTTTTTTCTTAGTCTAGTTAAGGATTTGTTAATTTTTAAAAATATTTTTGAAAAGTCAACTCTTGGTTTATAACATGTTTTTATTGTGCTTATTCTACACTTTATTTCCTTTACCTCTGCTCTAATTATGATTATTTTCTTCTGCTGACTTTGAGTTTGCTTTGTTCTTTTTTTTTTGTTTCTTTTTCTTTTCTTTTCTTTTCTTTTTTTTTTTTTTTTTTTTGAGAAAGCAGAATTTATTGAGAGGACAGAGAAGCTCCCACGGTGGGAGGGGACCCAAAGGGGTTACCCCTTTTTTCAGTTTCTTGAAGCATAAGGTTAGGTTGTGGATTTGCAACTTTTTTCCTTTATTCATGTAAGTGTTTACTATTGTGCAATTCCCTCTTAGCTGCTTTCAGTGCATCACATATGTTTTGATGTGTTGTATTTTTGCTTTCATTTGTGTCCAGATATTTCCTAAATTCTCTTGTATGTTCTTTTGTTGACCCATAGGCTATTTAAGAATGTATTGTTTCCCCACCTGTCCCAGGGCCGGATGCACCTTGGTTGACCTGGAAAAACAGAGCTGGGCACCTTGGGGCAGAGCAGAGGAGCATGGAAAGCAGGCTTGGATCAACTAAGTGCCTGATTTAATGCGCTGGGCAGGTGAAATAAGTTTCAGGAAGTCCTGTGTGAATATTCAGTCTAACCCTGCTTTACTTTTAGACCCAGAGTTTTTGAATAAAATCTCCAGAGCCAGAGCCAGTGAAGGAGTGCAAGCCCTGAAATATGGCTTTCTAGCATAACGAGTTTTTTGAATGAAAAAACCTTAAAAATCAACAGGCCGGTTAGGAGCCTTTTCCCCCATCTTGATAGTGACCACATGGACCCCCTTTAAAAGAGCGATTGCCTTTTCTTCCCTTAACTGTCATCTCATCATCTATTTAAAAAAATAAGAAAGCCTTCTTTATTTCTACATATTTGTGACTTTTCTTTCTAGTTTCATTTCATTCCATTGTACATAAATGAGTTTTTTAAAGAAGCTTGATAATAATACCAGTAAAGAAATATCAGTAAAGGTTTCTACAATCTCAAATGGCTTGCTCAAATCTTGTATACTAGCAATATAGTCAATAAATCCACTAACTTGAAGCTATCACTTCAAGACCAAAACATTATAAGATATTGAGATAACATGATTTGTCTTTAAAAAATGAACAAGAAGTAAATGGCTTAAAAGTCAGAAGTTTGACAGTTGCCAACATTTCTTTTCTTTTTCTTTACTCACCATGAAAAATTATGAAATATCACTGGACTTCTTTTTGAAAACACAACCAAATATTATAACAAAACATAAAATAAAAACTTTCTAGGGAAGAATGCAAGCAAATTCTGTTATGTCTGTAAGAACTACTAGCCACTCTTGTATACTTGAAATGTGACCAGTGCAAGTGAGGAACTGATTTTAAATTTAGTTTAAATTTAAACAGCCACATGGAACTGATGGCTATTATATTGTACTGTGCAACTCTAGAACAAAGGAAGTAATAGACCCTCCTTAATCTGGAGGCTGATTGATCACAGTTGAATTAGAGCATTCAATTTGCTGAGCTGAGAGATGAGGTGGAAAGCGTGTTGTAGAGTGATAAGACAAATTTCAGTGCATTTGAAGAGCAGTGATAGGAAAACCAGAAACTGTATCAACTGAGTTGGAGGAGTCTGAGTTGGTCTTGGCGGAAAAATGATCACTCATTTAAGTAATTAAATGAATTGGGAGAATAATTAATTTTATTTTGAAAGTTTCTTACAGGAAGAATTAGAACCAATGGGTAGCTCAGTATCAGGAATAAACTTCGAATGTGATTCCCTTATTTAGAGGAATCTAGTCGTAAACTGTATGACCTGGCCTTTGTACTGACATTGCAACATTACAATTTTATTAATACTTCCCTTCACTAAGAACACAGCTCAAATAGGGAAACTGTCCTTGATAACAATATTCCCACCCTTGAGAACTAGAGTGCATCAATAGAAAGGACAGAATCTTCTATAATAAGAGGAAGATTTAGAGACAATGCTTATGAAGTCATTTGAGGCCCTATGAAAAAGATCCCATATCATATTTTAGGGTCAGCAAGAATCAGGGTTTAGGATATAGCCATTGCTATAAATGCTAAGTTGATTTCTCTCATCGAACTTGAGGGTTTTCAATTGTGATCCTGTAGATGAGTTTTTTTTCTCCTGTAGACTAGATTTTCTCTGAACTTTAATCATTTAGTCTATGCATTTCTGACCTGTTCATTTCTTAAAATTAACTTATGGATGATAATCATTTGCTATTCAGTTATCGTGTTCAGCACCAGAAATATGCCTTTAAATTTGGTTTCCTCTTCACAACAGCTTTATTCACACTAGCCAAAAGGTAGAAACAACCCAAATGTTCACCAGTAGATGAATGGATAAACAAAATGTGGTGTATACACACAGCAGAATATTATTCAGTCTTAAAAAGGAAGAACATTCTGACACATGCTACAGCATGCACTTAAAGACATTATGCTAAGTGAAATTAGCCAGACACACAAAGACATATAGTGAATGATTCCACTTACATGATCTTCCTAGAATAGTCAAATTCATAAAGACAGAAAACACAACAGTGATAGCCAAAGACTGGGGGTATGCGAGAACAGGGGGTTATTGTTTAATAGGTACAGAGTTTCTTTCGGGGATGATGAAAAAGTTTCAGAGATGGGTCATGATGACAGTTGCATAACATTGTAAATGTACTTAATGACATTGAATGGTACTCTTTACCATCCAAAAGAATTCATACAGCCATAAAGAAGGACAAGCATATGGACTTCGTAGCAACTCAGGTGGATTTAGAGTCTATTATACTCAGTGATTTATCACAGAAACAAAGAACTGAGTACCACATGTTCTCATTCATAAACGGACCCTGAACATTTACCATAATACTATAAGAAAGGGATTGGCAAAAAAAAAAAAAAAAAAGAAAAAAGAAAGGGATTAGCAGTAGCGGGATACTGCTGAGGTGGGGGGTGGGGCACACAACATCGAAAAGGGTATCTTATCTCAAACCAAGTAAAGTGGGAACCAAAGGGAGGCCCAAACTTTACATGTCTGATGTCCACTTATTATACCTAATCCTGAACTGCATCCCACATCTTTAAAATAAAATATTTTTTTGAAAAATAAAAATAATTTAAATGGCGAATTTCATGTTATGTATATTACAATAATTTTTTCTAATTTGGTTTTCTGAAGCTTGGGATTACATTAAACTATCCTTGCAGCATATGTCAGATCATCTACAGAGAATGGCTAGTGCTATTTTTCTGTATCTTTCCTCTTGCAAATGTAGTTTAAGAACATGCCAATTTGATTTCCTATGACATAATCAGGTGGATGGGCATTATTTGTGTAATATGCAATTGTCATGTCCCAGGCATCAATAATACCCACATTAAGATCCATAAAAATATCCCTTATGATAAGATTCTGAATATGGCCATGAAAGTCACTAAACATCTCTGAATTTTGATGTATATCCCTGGTGTTTTCCGTTTTAAGTATCACCTTGGTCTCTGGGCTTCGCAAAAACAGACGTTCAATGGCCTTTTGAATATTGATGGCCCTACGGATGAAAATGTTGATGGGAAAGGGTCTGAAGTGTTGGCCAAGGGTAATGACAATAGCTGTGTCACTGTCTCCTGCTACCTGGTCAATTTCCCGTGGGATATAGTTTTCATCTCTCACCGAGAATGGCGTTTGGGTCACAAATGGATGACTATGTTTTTTCCACTGAATCAAAATTTGTCTTTCGACATCCAGAAGAATATGTGTTTTAAAGATCCCAGTTCCATGATGGTCAAAATATTTCAAGGCTGACAGAAAACAAATCGATAAATATTTTAACAACAGGAAAATGATATAATTTAAAAATACACACAACATGTGTAAAATTCTAACAACGACCACTTCTAACTGAAGCATTTTTTGCCTATGCAAGGAGAATTTTAACAGATGCCTTAAAATCTTAACAAAATTTTGAACTTTTTATGAGAATACATGAAAAAGGAAGAAAAATGTTAGCACTTGTGAGTGAAAATGTAAAATTTAATTTTTATTAAAGGGTGAAAAAATTTGGCAAATTAAAAAATAATAATAAAATCAACATTAGGAAAGAAAAACAAGGCATTCTAATTATTATTAAAAGCCCTCAACAGTCAAATATAATTTCAAAATAAAAATAAAATGCATACTTTTCACAACTTTTCTTAAGTAGTAAATCCACTGACGCAGTGTTGAGTCTCCCATGAGGTAAATAAGTTTTCTTTCCAAGCAGTCATTTATATTTTTTGTTGCATTGAACTCGATCTGTTTGCAAAATGTTGTAATCCACCTTTCTCCCAAAGTATAGCCACTGGGGAAAGGAGTCTTCATTCCAATCTGACATTTCTTTTTTATCTTCACACTCTCTGGTAATAAAAATGGTCAGAGTAAGAAATTTTTATTACCACGAATTATTCTGGAAGATAATCAATTTTCCTTCCTTTTCCTCTTTTCCCTCCACCCTTCCCTTCATCTCTATTTCTGCCCTCCAGCCTTCCACAAATATTATTTAATAATATTGTGTCAAAAGGATGAATTAAAAGTTCTCACTGAATAGTTTTTCTTGAATTGGGGATCAGTTTTCTCTTGTGCATTCACAGTGTCTCCCTGGGCTCCACCTTGTCCCTAAAGCCACTCAGCTGTGAGACAGCTAGCCAAAATCAGGAGGTAACGCATGACCGTGAAATATCAGGGATCAATAGCCCTGTTGAATATTGCACCAATGACATTGGCCTTGCTGAATTGTAAATCTTCTCTTCTTCAAACTGCTTATTCATGAAAGAAGACTGAACACATTTATGAAACGAGTGTCACACATTATTTATTTTGTGCGTACCAGAATCCTTTGCTCTGGTGAATAATAATAAAATAAACCTTCAATGTTTAATTACTGTGTCTAGAACTGAATATAATATTCTCGCTGTGGTCTGACTAGCCCAGAAAAAAAGGAGGATTATGACCTTCTCGTTCTGAACACTCCATTATTAAAATAATCTAAATTGCATTTACTGACTCATATCAAGCTTTCCCCCAGGTAAGCTTCTGAGCCCACTTTTTATATTTGTCATGTAAAAAGCACACCTTCTTTGCCATCGACCTACATTGTTGGGTTTGGGATATTGGTTTAGGAACTTACATTAATCCTTATTGAATTACATCAGATGTTTTAGTGGCTCCAGAAATAACAATCTGTCACTATCTTCTAAGAAACTGCTACACTTTACTAGAAGTTACTGCCCAGGCAAGAGGGAAACAAAAGAGGTGTTATGAGGACTCAAGATGCCTCAGGAATCTAAGAACTTTCTTCAGTGTGAAGGCCGGGCATGGTTGATGGTTGTCTCAGCAGAGAAGGGATCTTTTTCCTGATTGTGAGCTGAATGCATGAAAAAGGTGCAGTGGGCCAGGTGCAATGGCTCACACCTATAATCCCAGCACTTTGGGAGGCCGAGGTGGGAGAATTGCTTGAGCCCGCAGTTAAAGCCCAGCCTGGTCAACATAGTGAGACCTCATCTCTAAAAAAAAAAAATCAAAAAATCAGCCAGGCATGGTGGTGTGCACCTGTAGTCCCAGTTATTCATGAGGTTGAGGTGGAAGGATCACCTGAGCCCAGGAGGTTGGGGCTGCAGTGAGCTGTGATTATGCCACTGCATTCTAGTATGAGTAACAGAGTGAGATCCCCAACTCAAAAATAGGGGGTTTTAATGGGTATATGTGTATACCACTGATTGCTATAATGGAGGTCATTTGCTCTACTGAAACTCATTTTAATTCCAATGTAGCAAAAATATTACTTTTATGAATGAAATAGATTTGTGTTGACCATTAAAGTTCATGTGATTAAACTGAAAAACAGTCACAGAAATTGCTAGTTCATAGAACTTAAAGTGACATGGTTTGGCTAAAAGAAAAATTAGAAACCACCAAAGAAATGTCCTAACTCTGAATCTGTGCAGCTCATCTGAGACATTTCCTCACAGCACTAGTATCCAATTACTGGCTTTTGGGGAATAAATCTCAAGTTTAAATGTAAATAGCCTGTCCTTTTTGAGAAGAGGCCGCTGAAATTAATGGTTTTCCTAGGCTTTTATATCTGACTTGGGATGAAAATTGACTTAAACTGATATGAAAATAATTTCCAAGAATAAAATCCTTTCTTCAAAATACAAGGTTGTTGATATCATTTGTCCCAGGAAATGAGATCACATGGAATAAATATTTCTCAAAGTAAGAATGTCCTTAAAGTGAATAGAATAAATTGTGATCACAGCAAGCAATGGCACACTAGACTTACCGTTACATGGTATGACCTTGATGGGGGTAAAATTCTTCATAATTTCAACCCCTGTGTTGGACCTTCAAGAAATGGGAAAATAAATTAGCTTCATGACGGTAAAGTAAGAATAAATGATTTAGATGAATTGAACCACTCTTAATCAGCAAAAATGCTTTTTTTTTCATTATCTGTATATATTTAAGATATTCTGGGAAAGTAAATGGGTCAGGCTTCTGTAAAAGTGTTCTACTGCAAATGGCAGGGAATATAGAGATGCAGAGAGTTTCTCGCCCTCCATTTGCAGTTAGTCAAATCATCTATCTATCTATCTATCTATCTATCTATCTATCTATCTATCTATCTGCCCATCCTTTAATTTTGCCTTCTAAATGGTTCTCTACCAGAAACAATCCTCTCCACCCTGTGACTTGTGGTAATTCAGGCATTGACCTTTGCCTAGAGGCCAGTGCTACTCGAAGTTGAGCCTTTATCAGAATTACTGGGAGTACTTGTTCTGCTCAGATTGCTAAGCCTCACCCCCAGAATTTTTGATGCAATAGTTGTGGGGTGGGGCTCAATAATTTGGATTTCTAACAAGCTTTTGGGTAAAGGCAAAGCTAATGGTCCAGGGACATTACTTTGAGAGCCCTGTCCTAGACAATTCTAATATTATCTTTCTGCCGCTTTGGTTTAACCCTCCTAAATACAACCTCTCTGTTGCCTGGCTTATCCTCCCGCGCAAAATGTTTCCATGACTTTCCATCATCAACCTACAGCACAAGGACCAAGCTCCTTAACCAGCAAACCAACCTCCTATGAGTGCCTACCTCTCCAGCTACATCTCCATCTATGCCTCAAGATCATAATTTCTCAGGAGTCCATTTTCCATAGTCTATTGTCTTCCTGAGAGTAGAACTCAGGTCAATCTTATTCACTATAATATTTCTTTTCTTTTTTTTTTTTTTTTGAGTTGGAGTCTCACTCTGTCGCCCAGACTGGAGTGCAGTGGCCGCTCCCGGCCACCACAGCCTCGACCTGCTGAGCTCCGGCTATCCTTCTGCCTCAGCCTTCCAAGTAGCTGGAACTACAGATGCGCGCTACCATGCCCGGCTCATTTTTTTGATTTATTGTAGAGATGAGGTCTCGCCAAGTTGCCCAAACAGGTCTCGAACCCGCGGGCTCAGGCAATCCACTCACCTCAGCCTCCCAAAGCGCGGGATTACAGGCTGAGCCACCAAGTCCGGCTCACTATAATATTTCAAGTCCACAGCATAGAGCTTCACCTCAAAGTCTTAGTCCTGACAATTAAGCAGGTGACTATATCTAGACAATCGATCCACATTTGTCGAAAAAAAATCTGCTTATAAGTAGACCTGCACAGTTCAAACCTGTGTTGTTCAAGGGTCAACTGTACTATGCTACAAATGAAAAAAAGCAAGATTAGTCTCTTGGCTTATGGGAAGGAAAGTTATCATAGAACCAGGCTTGAATCTGGGACGGAGCCCAAGAGCTTAGCAATGGAATGATCCATGAGAGTTCTTGGATGTTGTAAGTCACTTGTGAACTCAATTACTCCTTGCATATGCACTAAATCACCTGTAAGGATACTGAAATTTCTACTTCCATGCCATGGGGTGGGAGTGGGGGAACTTGACTAGAACAAGGGATCTGGGAGGGAAATAAAGCAGGTTATTATCATAATTGTTGTCATGAGCACAGCCCACTTGAGAAGCATGACTGGGACCCCAAACAGGTTAGTCAGACTAGAAACTGGATTTCTTGAGACACAGTCAGGAGACTATGCAGGGATGGTTTTCCTTCAACCAAGGATGCAGTGAGGACCATCTCAAGAGGGAGCCTGATGTGACCAACAGAGAATATGGAATTAGACACAGGTGACCCCCACCCTTAGACTTAAGACATGGTTCTGAGACCTTCAAGACAGGATGTGTTTTCATGATCATTCTTCACCCAGTTTCTTTTAGCTGAGCCAGAGGATAAAGGGATTTTTTTTTCATATATTGATCAAGAAAAATAAAAGAAGCCGGGCTCAGTGGCTCAGCCTGTAATCCCGTGCCTTTGGGAGGCTGAGGTGAGCGGATTGCTTAAGTCTGCGGGTTCGAGACCCGCCTGGGCAACTTGGCGAGACCTCATCTCTACAATAAATCAAAAATTAGCCGGGTGTGGTAGCGCGCACCTGTAGTTCCAGCTACTCGGAAGGCTGAGGTGGAAGGATCGCCGGAGCCCAGCAAGTCGAGGCTGCGGTGACCAGGAGCGGCCACTGCACTCCAGTCTGGGTGACGGAGTGAGACTCTAACTCAAAAAAAAAAAGAAAAAAAAAAGAAAAAAAAGAGAAAAGAAGTGAAGGTGAGGTAGGGGTGGAAGGGAAATCTTATAAAGGCGCAGGGTCAGTTGTGCCTAAGACCTTGTGTCATCATAATGTTTAAATTGTATTTGGCCTTGAATGTTTAGGACAGAGTGCTATCCAGTTTATTCTTCTGAGAACACATCAGGCCTTTCTATAGCAGCAGGTCCCATACTGTGGAACGAAAATCTCTTAAAATGATCTATAAAATAAATGTTCTGTGGCCAAATAAGTATAGAAAATGTATGCTCTATCCCTGCTTGAAGGGCTCCACAGTGAGGTTTCTGAGAAGTCCTGCTGCAAAAAAATTCACTAAATTTTAATTATTTTCCCAGATTGTTATTTCAGTTATTTTTTTCATTCAACACACAGTTGTTGAGAACTTCTCAGTGCCAGGCATTGTGATAGGGCTATGACACAAAATAGTAGCCCTCAGTGACTTCCTATCATATACAGATGACCTCCAGGGCCCTACCTACCTATCTGACCTGCTTTCTCCCTCCCTCTTTGTGTTCCAGCCTCACTCCACCCCCTCCTCATGTTTTCTGGAACACTCCAGCATGCTCTCACCTCAGGACTTTCTCCTCCTCTGGAAAATGGTATCCCCCCCTAATTTACTTCCTCACTTCATTCAGTATACTGCTCAAGACAGGTCTTAACTGACCATCCTTTTAAAATAGCATCAACTATCACATATGACTCTCTTACTCTGATGATTCTCTGGTACAAATCTATTTCTTTGTTTTTTCTCTTTCTATCCCACTAGAATGTTAATTCCCAAAACCTAGAGCTGTGTCTGGAATACACAATGCACTAGTTATAAATTGAACGAATGAATGGTGAAAAAAATAATTACAATTATTGCTTAACAGAGCTTACAATTTAATGTTAAAAATAAATTGTAAATCGAATAGTATAATAAGTGTTATGTTGGGAAGAACAAGTGCTATGGAAAAATATAGGACTAGCACTTCATTCAGTGATACGTAATGTTTCCTGGAGGAAATGATGTCTAATTCAAGTCTGGTGAGATGCCAGAGATGAGAGAGATCATGTGTGACATAAAAGGAGTTCGGTTTGACTGACAGAGATCAAGGAAGCAGAAAAGTGAGAAAAGAGGCCACAGGGTTAGTCCTTGGAAACAAGTTAAAGTGTTTGAACTTTGCCTTGAGAGCCATTAGACCACATTAAGGCTTTTAAGCAAGGAAAGGTAAAAGACATATCCACATGTCAAAAATATCAGTCCAGGTGCTGTGCGGAGAATTAATTGGAATAAGCAAGAATGAAGACAGGGAAGCCAGCTCTGGAGATGGTTGTGATGATCTAATGGAGATATGATGGTAGCTTATAAAAGGATAGAGGCAACAGTGGTAGACAAAAATGACTGGGTTCATGAGATAGTTGGGAGGTACAACTTATAGAACTTACTGATTCTTTGAATGTGAAGGGCAAAATAGTCTTAATAAGACATTATGCACCAGTTTTTTATTACATAGCATCTACTAATAATCCATAGAATATATTATAGAAAATACTACTGTATAAAAAAATTATGAATCTGTAAGTATTATAAACCATAGAGAACTATAGGTATATAAAAAGCACTTCACTGGTTGTACTCCTGTTAGCAAATAGTTCTACAGGTGACTTGTTTGGGCCCCTGTGAACATACTACCAAAATGACTTTGAGGACAGAATTATAACTTAGTCAATGTCAATTGACATGATAAGCTTGATTAGGCAAAGCTATTAGGCAGAGTTTGGTCTGATTGTAAGTCTACTTCTTTGTATCTATTATCATATTTGAAAGCTTGTTTACCTGTGGAAAAGGCTCCATTCTTCCTTGCTAAGATAGGAAATGTTTCTATTCTTAGTGAACATGTGCGTCAAGGCCTTACAGGGAAAGTGTTGAGGCCTCACGCAGTAGAAGGCTTCTTGGTCTCTGTCGTCCAGGTACTGGCACAGTTCGGCACTTGTATTTAGGGCCAGGCCACATTCAGAATGGACCTGGGAGATGCCATCGTCGAATCGGCCAATGAACACTATCCTATCATAGCCTTGGTTCCTTGCCCTCCAGAGAGCTGATGCCCCTTCACTGGGGTGGATGAGTAGCAGAGACAGGGTGACCTGGCCCTCCCAGAACAGAGTGAAACTGACAAGGTAGGAGCCATTATTGAAGTCGGTCACCTTTCCTGAAGCGCCAGCCTTCAGGGCTGAGGAGGACATCCTGGCCCTCAGGAAATCCCCGCCATATTGCTTCCTGCGTCCCAGGTGGTCCCTCACTTCCAGCAGGATGTCCAGTTGGTCCCCCCTGCAGTATGTTTCTCGGGGGTTGAGGATGGAGACTGTGCTGTGTACAGCGCTGGTGGTGGTGTTCACATGGGTGAAAGGTCTGGGCGGGATCCACTGGTCTAGTTTCTCAATGATTTCCTTTATTCTCTCCTGGGTCTCTGTTGGCAAAACTGCTGGATTCAGTGGTGCTTCAGAGTGTGAGAACATCTTTAAGATATTCCTTTGGTTCAGGGTGATACGGTTTTTCAAGCTGAACAAGAACTGAAGTAATGAGGAGGAGGAAGAATATGTTATAAGCAAGTAATAAGGTTTGCTTTTGAACATAAGTTATTATGGTACATCTTGCATCTTTCAGTGTGGTAAATCACATAGCAAAAATCAATCCTAACTGGTTTTCAGTTATGGAATCCTAGGAATTGATTTCCACGTACATAGTGTAACTTCCTCCGCTGCTAGCAGATGGCTTCTTTTAGGAGTCATTGGCTTAAAAAATAACTAGATATAATAAATATATATCATTTCATGATTTAATTTTAAAGTTTTTTCTTTGCTATTCTCTCACTTGAACTTTCTTTTTAAATATTATATAATCATGTTACATAAAGACAATGTGAAAAAGAGCAAATTTTAAAAAACATAATCCTACCTATGTTTTGTTGTCTTTGAAGTAAATTTTATTATGCTCACTCTTTTTCATTTCATATCAGATGAATATGAAGGGTGGGGCATGGGGATCATGCTGTCTTTGGTCAAAAACTGCTGAGCACACAGGGAATTATAGGCAGGTTGTTCATGTAAAATCACCCATCATGAAATGGGCAATTACGTTGAATCTCAAAAAAAAAAAAAAAAATTCACTGAAGCCAGAACACAGCTCTCAAAACGATGCTAGCTGGTACATGGGATGCTGATGGGTCCTAGAATACTTAACTAGTGGGGGAAAGCCTGTTCTATAAGGGGCCACCCACCAAAAATTAATTCCTATTTATAATCATACCAAATATATAGATTAGCACTTGTTCACAGCTAGTATAATATATAATAAACATTTTAATGTTGGTACATAATTTTATTATCATTATTTTTCTTTTCTTTTTTTTTTTGAGTTGGAGTCTCACTCTGTTGCCCAGACTGGAGTACAGTGGCCGCTCCCGGCCACTGCAGCCTCGACCTGCTGGGCTCCGGCGATCCTTCCAAGTAACCGGAATTACAGGCATGCGCTACCACGCCCGGCTGATTTTTTGACTTATTGTAGAGATGAAGTCTCGCTGCCCAGGCGGGTCTCGAACCCGCGGGCTCAGGCAGTCCACTCACCTCAGCCTCCCAAAGGCGCGGGATTACAGGCTGAGTCACTGAGCCCGGCTCATTATTTTTAATAGTTGAATATTAGTTCACCATGAGGATGTAATGTGGATTGTGACCATTAGATGATATCTATGCTTTCTTTTAGCATGACATTTAGATACTTTCCATCTCCTCATATAGGATTACTTCTTTATGATAGCTTCCTGGGGATGGAATAACCAAATCATATATTATTGAATTAAATACCAGTCAGTCAACGAACATAACATTTTATTCATCTTGATTGCCAAATATATTCTCAGAATAAGAGTTGACATTGCCACCAGCAATGCATAAGACTACTTACTATGCCACACTAGTGTCTCACTGGTAATTGTAGCAAAGTGTAAGAGTTCTGGATAATATTACTTTACTAGAGTGCTGAGAAAAAGATTCAATCAAATGAAATTTTTTTTAGCTGACAATAAATGCCATTGTATTCACCTAGACAATGAAACAACTGAGGAAATGTTACCACCAATTTAAGATCTCTTCAGGTCCCAGGAGTCTCCCATGCCCACGTAGGTACATTTAGCCAGTGGACCTTTATGACAGTCCACTAAAATCACATGGAGGAAGCCAGGTTTGGAGACCCACCCCTGTTTGTTCACCCGTTGACTTGTTTAGTTTTTGCTTTGTTTTGGGGTTTTGGGGGGGCTTTGGGGGTTTTTTTTGAGTTGGAGTCTCACTCTGTCGCCCAGACTGGAGGGCAGTGGCCACTCCCGGCCACCGCAGCCTTGACCTGCTGGGCTCCGGCGATCCTTCCGCCTCAGCCTTCCAAGTAGCCAGAATTACAGGCATGCGCTACCACGCCCGGCTGATTTTTTGATTTATTGTAGAGATGAGGTCTCGCTGCCCAGGCGGGTCTCGAGCCCGCGGCCTCAGGCAATCCACACACCTCAGCCTCCCAAAGGCATGGATTACAGGTTGAGCCACCGAGCCCGGCTTTTGTTTTGTTTTTCAATAGTCGACTGCTGTCGGGCATTGCAGCTTACACCTATAACCCAGCACTTTGGGAGAAGGAGGCAAGAGGATTGCCTGAACCCATGGGTTCGAGACCAGCCCGGGCAACTTGGTGAGACTTCATCTCTACAATAAAAAAAAAAAAAAAGAAGAATTAGCTGGGCATGGTGGTGTGCCCCTGTAGTTCCAGCTACTTGGAAGGCTGAGGCAGAAGGGTTACCTGAGCCCAGTGGGTCGAGGCTATAGTGGCCATGAATGTGCCACTGTACTCTAGCCTGGGCAACAGAGTGAGACACCGACTCAAAAAAAAAAGTTGACTGCTGTTTGATATTTGTACACGAAGGCTTGAAGCCCAAGTACACTATTTCCTCTATCATAACTGTTGTCAAATATGTTCCTGAAACAGGACATTTTATTATGCCAAAACAATTCTATAAATATAATGTGTATACTTTATTATATATATTATATATATATATAAAATATTCTAGACAATTGCCTGAATGAGAGATTCCTATAAAATCCACCTTCTGAAAAAATTTTGAATAGCTGCATGCTTACCTAGAGAATGAAGTTGTCCTCAGATATTTTACTTGATTAAACTTCCCTTACAAAATTCATCCATTTAAATATTTGTGGAATATTGTCCTTAAAACTATGTGCAAATAGTTTGGTAAATAGAGGATTACTATTATTTTCAATTATATTTATTTTAATATCAGTGTTCCAACTTTATTTTCCTTCAAATACTTGTTTTGCTAATATATTTTTCTCCTTTTGTCTATTTTCTTTAAAAATAGACAATAAAAATTGTCTATTTTTATTTTAATTTTAATTTGTTATTTCTCAATTGATATCAGTTCTTCATGTAATAACCAATATCAGTTCTTCATGTAATAACCATCTTACCATCTTAACATTTAGTCTCTCAATTTTGCAGACATTTTTTTTACCACTTCATTGCTTGGCATTTTTAGAAGTATTTAATACTTATACTTAAAGTACTAAAAAATTATTTTGTGATTTACTTCTATTGTTTTTAATCTTAGACTGTTCTTCACACTTTCATTTTTCTAAATATTCAATTCTAATTTTTCCAGTATTTTTTATAATTGGATTTGTCAATATTTTATTTTATTTTTTGCCTATCTAGATTCAGCCAAGCGGATATAAAGTTCTATTCTCCTGGCAATTTTGGCAAATAAAGATATTCTCTGCTTTATTTACTGATCTTAACAATAAGCATTTAATTAATTCATTATTAATAATAAATTATAAAATGGAGAAACACAAATGTTATTGGCAGCTGATTTAACTATAGTCCCAGAAAGTCCAGCCTACAGAGAGAACAAGCATGTAAACTTATTATAAAAAAAGTGAATCACTTAACAGATATGTAAGTCTAACTCCATGGGTACATGAAAGAAATTGTCACAAACTTGGCCTGACAAGTTAAGAAGAACTTCACAGGGAAAGGGTGTTATTGTTTAATGGTTTGAGGTGACACAAAAAGATTTTGTTAGATAATTTATTTTCTTAATTTGTAAATAAAATACATATATACATTTATGGTATGCAATGTGACATTTTGATATATATCTGTATATAAATATACTGCAAAATAATTAGCATACCCATCACCTCACACAATTGAGGTTTTTTTGGATGAGACATTTAAAATCTGCTTTCTTACCAACTTTCAAGTATACAGTACATTATCATTAACTATAGTAGCCATGCTCTACTGTCATTTTCCAGAATATATTTTTCCTGTCTATCTGAAAATGTGTACCCTTTAATCACCATCTCCCCATAACATCACCCACTCTACCTTGGCAATCAGACTGTAGTTAAATTCCCATTGCTTTTGGTGTGATACTTAGCTAAGAATGACACATGTTAAACTCAGAGTTGAGCCCAGGAGTTTATCTGCCACTTTGTGGAAGAGCTCTTTTGAGCTTTATTTTCTCTACAGTCTCCTCAACTCTTTCTCATTCTCTGAGAGCTCTACTTTTTGGTTCTCCAGCCATAAATTATGGGGCAGAATGGTTTCCCAGCCTTCTTTGGGATATGCTTCCCTACATTTCCTGTGGCACCCAAGACCAGATAGGAATATTTGAACAAGGCCTGACAAAAGCGAAGTGATCACCACATTGTGTTCTGAACTCTTAAGGAAAATATTGTTTAGCTAATATTTAGTATATAATGAGAATTTTGACTTCAATAGAAATACAGTGAGGAGAAAAATAAACTTTTTATTTTGAGATAATTGTAGATCCACAGGCAGTTGTTACAAATAATAGGGAAATCTCATGTACCCTCAACCCAGTTTCCCCAATGGTACTATCCTGAAAAACTGTAGTAAAATATCACAACCAGCATATTGACATTAATATAGCCAAGATTCAGAACATTTCCTTTTTGCCCTTTTTTAGCCACACTTGCTTTCCTCCCATTCTCACTTCTTCCTTAACCCCTGGCAACCACTTACTGGTTCTCCATTTCTGTGACCTCAAGAATATTATGTAATAGAATTACACAATATAGAAGCCACAAATATGAGCAAGGAAAAACAAAGAGTTTTGTGCCAGACCCTTAAAATTAGATACAGAATTGGGAAAGACTCTTTAAAATAGCAATAGCAGGGTCAGGATCAGCATTTATGTTCAATTTTACATGAGGCCCAATTGTCTCACTATTTATTCATCTGTTACACACACACACACACACACACACACACACACACGCACGCACGCACACACAGACAACTAACCTCCTTTGGGATGGATGGGGCCTTAAGGAGGTGATTAGTTCCTGGGGATGGAGCCCTCATGCACGGAATTGGTGCCCTTATAAAAGAAATCCCAGAGATCTCCCTTGCCCATTCCACTATACAAGTACTCAGTGAAAAGAGGAAGCAGACCCTTGCCAGACATCAAATCTGTTGGTGCCTTGATCTTGGACTTCTGAGCCTCCAGAGCCGTGAGAAATAAATCCTGCTGTTTATATGCCACTCAGTCAATGGTAGGCATTCTTTTAGAGCAGCCAGAAGGAACTGTCAAGGATTTTGTACACACACACACACACACACACACACACACAAACTTCAAACACAAAGGAGGACCCCATAAAAGTCAGAATTATTTTTTGGAGGATGAACCCCTCGTAGTAGTTCAGGCTTCCCCCACTAGGTAAGTGTTCTAGGAATCCATCAGTGTCAGTGTACCAGCTAGCGTTGTTATGAGAGGCTGTGTTTGGCTTCAGTTAATTTTTTTTTCTGGAGATTCTTTCAACCCGCTTGCCCATTTCACGATGGGTGATGTACAAACACATCTACCCACACCACACTGAGTGTTCAGCAGTTTTGGACCAAAAAGCAGCATGATCCCTAAACCCCACTCTCCCTATTCACTGGATCTCACCCCATGTGACTTGGTTTTGTTTCCCCCAGATGAAAAAAGTTCTCAAAGGGAAATGTTTTGCCAATGTGGAAGAGGTGAAACAAAAAATGGCAGAAGTACTAAAAGGCATGAAAATTAATGAGTTCAAAACTGTTTTGAGCAGTGGAGTAAATATCTCAAAAAGTGTATTGCATTAAGCAGAGAGTGCTTGGTTGGAAGGTGACTGAAGTGTAAACATGTAAGAATAAATACACAATTTTTCATAAATAAATTTCAGGGGATTTTTTAGGTCTTCTCTCGTGCATATATATTTCAAAAACGTATATATATATTGTGATAGTAGTTTTTCAGAAGACCTTAAGATCTTTTGTTCTCCATGATTACCTCTGACCAACTATGACTCATTATTGCATAACCCTCCTCTTCTGTGTCATTTAACCCATCACTTTCTTTCACTAACTTGCTGAAGATTTTGAAGAACTTGGCTTCCAGTCTTCTTTATCACTAGAAGTCCTGACACCCTCCATGTAGACTTCAATGTCCATGTCCTTCAACATCTAGATCCCTTTGTTCCTGAACTTGCTTAACTTTAGAGATCTGTAAGAATGGTCACATGGCAATTCAACTTCCTATCACCCCTGCCCAACTTAAATGTAACCACATCTTTCCTTTCCTGCTTCCTACTTTTCTCTGTTAGCATTTTTCCACACAAATTTAAATGTATTCGAGTATTTTCTATATTTTAAAAAAAGAAAAACTTTTTGAGCCACCTATTTGCCTCTAATTACTATCCTAACTTTTGCCTGTTCCCCACCCCTACCTATCTCAAAAGTTTTCTTCTATCCCTGTGTACACTTTCTCTCCTATCAATCACTTCTCAGCCTGGCACTTATTTTGTTCCTTGGGGTTATATCATTTGCAATGTTTTCTTCCCACTCTACAGTTCACCTGAGGAAGTGTCACAGACTCTAATGGCTTCAGGTGTCATTTATATTCTCATGCTTCCTAAATCTATTTTTCTAAACCTGGTCTTCTTTCCCAGTTTTCAATCTGTATATTCAACAGTCTATTAAAGCAACAGCTCTACTTGGTTTGACTTAAAAGGACCTCAAACCTAGACTGTTCATATCTAAACCTGTCTTTTGACTTCCAAAGTTATTTCTCCTACTCTGGCCAATACTTCAGTGAATGACATCACCAGCTGTATTTTTCTTTAAAAATAAAGAAAAAAAGGGGAAAGCTTTACAAAAGCTATACAAACCTGGAATGTAATTCCTGGTCAACTCATCTCTTCACTCCCCACAGGCAATCACTATTGCTGTCAATTCTTGCTCAAATTCGTTAACTTTTCCCCATCCTCATTGCTAGTACTTTATTTCAGGTCACCATGATCTCTCACCCAGATCACAGAACAATCTTTAATTATTTACTTGTTATTTATCAAGTACCTACCATGCACCAGGCACTCTTCTGAGCACTTGGAATATACCACCGAATAGATACATATAAAGAGTCCTTGCCCTCATGGAGGTTACTGGGTCAAGATATACAATAATTAATAAGCAAACTATATAATATTTTAGAAAATGAAAAGTACTATCACAAAAAAAGATGTCAAGTAGAATAAGGGGGAATACTAAAAATGGGGGGTGGGGCTGTTTCTAGTATTAAATCAAGAAGGTGAGCGAAAACTTGAAAGAAATAAGAGTGTTAGCCACTTGAAAACCTGAAGAAAGGAAACAGTCAATGCCAGAATGTCTTGGGCCAGCCTAAGTGAGTTTCTGTGCCCTTTACTTAAAAGAAGGGCTCAATAGAAGCCCAAACCACACCATCCCACAATACTCCTATATAACAAAACTTCACATGTATTCTTTGAATCAAAATAGAAAAATTTTAAAAATAAAGAAAAAAAGGGGAAATTGAAAAATAAAATTAAAATAAAGGAGCTGGAATGAAACACTGTGCCAAGGGGCTTGGGCCATACCATGTTGCAGGAGGAGCCCTGTTAAAGGTAGTTTGAATGCCATATTCAGATTTTCATCTTAGAAATATAATTTCAGATTCTTGAACACAGAGGTGATGTGCTATAGTTCTGCATCCCTAATGCCTAGACCAATACCTGACACATAGTTTATGCTCAACAAATATCTGTTGAGTGAATGCTTACAGTAGATTGAGAGTGGAAGAAGGGGAATTAATTAGAATAGCGTTTCTACACTTTGAATGAGAAATGATAAAGGACTGAGCTAAAGAAAGGAAATGAGCTTGGAAAAAAATGATAGATTTGAGAGATATTTAGGAGGTAGACTTTATAAGACTTAGCGACTGGTGGCTGGAGTGCAGAGTTTCAACTCGATTGAATACACGGGTTGTGGCAAAAATTACCAAGTCGGAGAGCTAAGAAAAAGAGCACAGAATTTGTTTCCATTCAATTCTTTATGTTTGCTTTGTTCAGGAATGTCATTTATATTCTCATGCTTCCTAAATCTATTTTTCTAAAACAGGTCTTTCTCAGCTTCAGGTCTATATATTTGACAATCTATTAAAGAAATATCTCTACTTGGTTGGCCTAAAGGACCTCAAACATAGACTGTTCATATTGAAACCTATCTTTTAGGTGGTGAGAGAATAAAGTCAGTGTGTGTGTGTTTGTATTGGCAGTGTTAGTGGAAGACTTAGGTGGAGACATTCAAAAGTGGAGCTGGGAAGAAGCTACAGTTCTGGAAGCTCATAGGCAGAGAGGCTCACACTTTAGCATGCATAAGAATCAGCTGGGGAGCTTGTTAATACTTCGTAATCTTAGGCTTAACTCCAGAGATTTCAGTAGTTCAGGGGTAAAGCTCAGAAATCTGCATTTTACACACATGGGTACAAACACCTATGTTATGAAACAGAAGGCCCCCCAGGCCTCATTTTGAGAAACACTAATATTGGTAGGGGATGGGACCTGGGCATATTAATTAAAAGGCAGGCGCATAGCAGAGAAGAGGATCAGAGGAAGTAATCTAGAGAACACATATTTATAGAGAGAACTCAGAAAAAGAAACTTTCTGAGCCATGATCTGAGAGCTCTTTTATCAATTCATACTATTGTCTGAATGGTCAAGACTGTGCTGCTTCTTGTTTGAAGCTTGGAGATAAGGATGTATTAGACAAAAGTGAGAGAGACACCTCTAAAGTTCAAATTTAGAAGGGCCTCGAATGGCTAAACTAAGGAGTCTGATCTTTGCAGTGTCATTGGTGAAAGCTATTGGTGAAGGTTTTTGATCAGGACCAGAAGATGATGAAAGCAGAGTGTTTTAAAGATTATTTTTGTACTAAATGGTTGGGAAGAAGAGAAACTGGAAGCGAGATCAGTTAAGAAAATTTCAGAAAAGAAAGACCTCCAAAACACTAACTGAACTACTCAAAGAATAAGAAAACCCCTGTGAAGAAGGCAGAGGACTGAAACAGAGATTTAATTGGTTTGGAGTCTCAGAGGCCAAGAGAGGAGAGAGTTTTGAGGCCGGACGGTTAGCAGTGCCAAGTAGTACAGAGAGGGCCACAAATTCACTTGCCACCAAAAAGACAATAATAATGTTTATGTTGTCAAAGTGATTTCTGTTGAACAGAGAACCCTCTCATCCATATTCTCCAGCTAAGAGGACATGCTTTTTAACTTACTTCTTGCCATCATAAAGGGGATCATTCAAATGAAGTCACTGTGACTTTCTGTGAAATTCTGAAAAAGGAAACAATTCCTACCTTTGTGAGGTCTTCTGAAGCCAAGTAAATGACCGAGAAAATTAAAACAAATATCAATATCAGCAGTAATTTCCGAGCTATGGCATTTGGAAATAAAGTGAGTATCCTATAAGAGAGGACAGGAGAAATAATCACACAACAAATTAAATAAGCACAACATGGCCCTGTATACTTTGGTTCCCCCTCAGTAATTTCCAGAACAGGGTGTTATTCTCTTGGGTTTTCAAAACAATTCCTTTGTATATTCTACTAGAAATCAGAAACAAAGTTCTTCCCTGAGGCAAGAACAAACTAGTGGAAGGACTCCTGGTTTCTGACTCTCAGTTGAATTCTGTAGGTGTGGAATCATATCATGTCTCTGAGCCTTTTCTCTCGTCAAGGACTCAGGGTGGGCAGCAAGGTTTTAGTAATTGTTCACCTGAAAAAAACTCTTTTTCCCCCCTGGTATCCTCAAATAAATCTCTCTGGCACACACACCCCCCCACACACACCCATATACACACATGCACACACATATGCATGGTCCAGCTCTCTCTCTCTCTGCAGTTTTATCTACCTCCAGAGGCTTCATTATAAATCTCTCACTTTTTTTTTTTTTATTTTTTTGTTTCCACCTCAGGTTATCTCCTTATGCCAAAGCAGTTGACAAACAGTGCCAAAAAGAACAATTGTCATAGTATTTAGAAAAGTCTGGTGTGGTCCACAGTTCCAAAAGGCCTGAGAATTGATTTGCCTAGTTCCTCTGCACATTTGGCGTGCTTTCCTTGTAAACTCCTTTCCCTTGCTCTAAACCACTGCATACATGGATAGTGCCCCCACGCAGCAATTTAAACTAACTCTCAAGCCAACAGAGAAACAGGCACAGGTTTAAATCCCACTGCAACTGGCGTGTATAACAGGGTCAGCGTTGAATGGTTAAAATTCTAGTTTTTGTTTTTTAAACCTAGAATCCCAAAAGTTTGTGGCAAAGATCCATGTTACGGCAGTCTTCACCAAACTTTTTTGACGGGGACACGCACAGATATATGTATAACCAAATCTCAATTCAAAGTACCTGTATGTTGGGTGTGTGTGTGTGTGTGTGTGTGTGTGCGCGCGCGCGCGCGCGTACGCACAC